GGGGGGGGGCATCATGACAAGATTATCTTGATTGATTATAGATTCCTTCAATTTAGGGTTCTTGATTTCTCGAATCAATTCAATGAAGTTTTTGTTGAATCATAGGAGATTTTGTTCAATCAAACTTCCAGGGGCAAATGCCCCCATTTTTGTTGGGGAAGAGGAACTCAACATTGTTCTCCTCCCTATCAAACATTATGCTACATACATAGCACAGAATTCTCATGCATTTACATATCCAACACCCAAAACTTTCATATTTACATATACAACAAACCTATGCATGAATATGAAAATTCACCCCAGAGATTAATTTGTAAATATCAATTCAGGATGATTTGTCCGTAATTATCCCAATAAAAAAAATGCGTCAAGAAAGCTTATGATGCGTATATATTTAACCCTTTTTTGACATACAACATGTCAAAAGTTCCACACAATTTTGTATTTACGTGAAGCATAGACAAGGGGTATAATCTGCAATTAAGAAAATTGGCAAAAAATTACAGAAGTCCCCTCGCCAGCCAACAAATCGGCTGAAATTCGCCTCACCAACCTCCAACTCCATGTTCCTCTCATAGGATGCAAATATGTAAATGATAAATTTTCAAAAACAATCTTGATGTCATTTGAATTATGATTTTAACAAATTTATAATAAACATAATTGTTTCGACAACACGAATTCAATGACACGAAAACAGTATTAGTTCGAGTTCAAATGTTAGTGAGACTCGAGTAAAAAAATTAGATTTTCTTTTTCTAATATTTATTTTGTTTTCATTTTGTAAACTCGCTTTAATTAAAAGTTTACTTTTTAAATAATTAAAATTTAAGTTTTATTCTTAGATAGAATTTAACTAATTAGGAAATTATTATTTTTTGTTCAATTTTTTTTAGATTTTTATTATTTTATAATAACTACTTTTTGTCTTTTTACCAAAAGTATTTTAATTTTATGATATGATTATTATAAAAAGAATAATTGCTAGGAAACCTCACGAAATGACATAATTTTTTACCATAAAATCTTTTGTAGACCATTTCAATTGATTTTGAATTCGTGATATGATGGAATATAAAATTTTATGTAAGAAATGAATATAAACTAACATAAAATTTACATTTAAAATAAAAGCATACACAAATATAGAATATACGAAATCTTTTATTTATAGAATCGAGTCTGCCTGCTGAAGTGACCGTTTCAAACTACCTGTTTAAGTACCTGAATTGAGCCCACGTGTGGGCCAAAATGACTAAACCAAGCTCACGCACTAAAGTGGTTGAATCAAGCGCATCTACTGAAGCGACTGAATTGAGCTCACTCACCAAATTAGCTGAATTAAGCCCACCTGTCAATCTGATTGTACCCGTCCTCCCCAAAAGGATAACCTAACCCACCAGTGCGAGTAGGGCTGTCAAAAAAGTTCGTTGTTCGTGAACAGTCCGTGTTCGGTTCGTCAATGAGTTTGTGTTCGTTTCGTTCGATAAATAAATGAGACGAACGTGAACAATTTTTTTTTCGTTCATTTTTCGTTCGGTTAGTCAAAGGAATCGTGATCATTCGTTCGTGTTTGAATAGTTATTGATCGAAATATAAAATAATTTAAAATAATTATACATAAAAAATTTAATTTTATAAATTATAATATATAATAAATTAATAATAATAATAATAATATATTAATATATATTAGTAATATACTAATATAGTTATTATATATCTATATAATATAAGTTATATAATTAATATAATATATTATTTATATATATTAATATTAGGGATGTCAAACTGGCTCATCGTTCGCGAACAGCTCATGTTCGACTCCTTCATTAAGAAACAAACATGAACTGTGATTTCACGAACAATTTCGAACACGGGCTTATTTCAAACAAACTAAATTTCAAACGAATTGAATACGAACATAAGCTCTGTTCGTTCGTGTTCGGTTTGTTTACACCCCTAAGTGTGATGGCGGCTATGAGAGGAAGCCATTATGACTGGCTAAAAACTATTATGACTAGTAAGAATATTTGTTAATCCCTAATTAAATGCGGTGCCTAACACATGGGACCCATTCATTTCACCCAGACACGAGATGTGTGCGCACCGACAACACTTCACACCCCACATCACGGTCTTTTTACCAAATCATCAGAGAATGATATCACACCATGCAAGATATATAACGTCTATTCTTTTATTAATTTTCTACTTTATGTATAAAATGTGATAGAAAAGGAGGGAGCGAGGGGCCGATCATTGTCTTTCTTCTCACTCTCATTTTTGTCCTCTCTCTGAAATCTCAACGAGCCATGCTCGTTTAGCTTATCACACATGAGAATTTAATACAAATTTTAAGGTTCTCTCTCACATTTTAGCTGATTTCTCTTTCATTCTTTATATGATATATAAATTTTTTTATCATGTTGCATGCATTTTGGAACAAGATCTAAAACTTATTCAGCAATAAATAAAAACTGAATTAAATTTAATTCATGCTAAAAATTAAATTTTTGCATGTAAAAATTAATACCTTAATTGGATGATAATGAAATCATTAAAAGGCAAAATAGAATAAATAAATAAAATAAAAAAAAAGGTAAGTAGTTATTTACATTTTGTATAATTAAATTAAAAGAAGTAAATAAAATGGCTCCGAAAAAATTGGGCCTTCTTAAAATCCCTAGGCTTCGTTCCCCATCTGTTTCACTGTTGAGTCGTTTCCGCCAAAGCCCTAATTTCGATTGCAGCGATGGAAGGAGAAGCCCAAATCCTCGATCAAGAGTCGCTAATCCAATCACCTCTCAAACGAAAGTGCGATCTCATTCCAGATGAGGAAGGGGAAGATGAAAGAGCGATGAAGCAGAAGAAGCCCGACGACGCTCCCGTCGAAGAGCGCGTAGCCAGCCATGATGACAACAAGGAGGGCGCCAATCAGAACGGGAATGCGAGTAAGGAGAAGGGGAAATCCATTTTATCTGCTGCGGATAAGGGGAAGGGGAAGATGGTGGTGGATGAGGAAGAGGGCGGTGACGAGAAGCGCGGTCGAGAATTCGGGGTTTCTAGCGGTGATGAGGACGGAAGCAGCGAAGTGCATGGGGATAGGGATGATGATGACACCGACTTCGATGATGATCCTCTTGCGGAGATGGATCTTGACAATATTTTACCGGTAAGGACGCGGCGGCGCAGTGCATTGGAACCGGGAGCTTATCTTGTAGAGGGCGATGATGATGACGATGATGATGATGATGATGATCATGTGGAGGAGGAGGAGGAAGATGAGGAGGATGAAGAGGTGGATGAAGGGGAGGAGGTGGAAGACGAGGACAAGCAGGAGGAGATCAAGTAGGCTGGCGTAACAGAAAAGTAGGTACAATTTGATTATGTTGCTCTCTCTGAATTTTAGATGAGATTAATGTGAGATATTTTCTCATCTTTGAGGCACATTGTATGTTCGGATTTATCCTTTTGCTGAGTTTTAGGATTGGTATTCTGATTATCAAAGTTGTTGGTAGTTTTCTGGACAATTTCTTACAGTAGATCCTTTCGACTAGTTGCTGGATGAAAACATATTCTGTCCTTTTTTTTCTTTTGCTCGTTACATTTGTTGACTTTTTTTACTTTGCTCATTACAACATTTATTGACTTTTTTTTACAACATTTGTTGACATTGCACGTTTATTCAAACTATGGTTAGTGATTTCCTTTGCTTTTTAGAAAGTCAAATATTGTCTGTTAAACTCCTTTCTAAGGGCTGTTTTGCTGGTTGCTTCTAGAGAGGTCCTGCAAGAAACAACAATTTCCTGTTGTTGCATTGGTGTCTCTCTTTCTTGTAGGGGTGTTTGGTTGCAGGCAACATTTAGCGTTTGTAGGGTTTTTTAAATCCGCGGAACTTTGCATATTTTTTATGTTTGGCTGGATTTCATAAATCCAGCGATAATTCCGGTTAATAGGTGCGACCAAACACCCCTGTAGAATTATTGCGCAAGTTGGAATCTTTCAGATTGTTCTCTCAGAGGCTTCTTATTGTCATCAGAGCAGTGAACTACAGCTGCCTTATTCATTTAGTCTGCCATAAAATCATTTTCTAGCAGTTAGAAACACAATAAAAAGGCCCAATATTCTGGCTATTGAATGTGGCCGAGACTGGAACTCCACTTCGATCCCTTTTCTTTCCCACCTAACAAAACTTGGAATAAAACCCAACCGAAAACTTAGACAAAAATAAGAGTTGGCTTTAAATATAGCCTAAGGCGCTCCAAAACTTATATATGCAAAATTATGAAAATAACTTACATGAGGTTTAAAATAACCCATACAAGGCCCAAATAACTTTATTAAATAATTCTATCTTTATTAAATAGTCTGATTGAGTATGTCATTTTAACCATGCAGCTTGGAATGCATATAGTAATTATGTAAATAGTCTTCACACAAAGTGTGTGTTTGATGAGTCTACTGAATGTAACAAAAAAGTAACAAGCTACGACTTATGAAATAGAAAGTGAAGTTGGAAACATGAACTTTTTTTATGGTTTTGTATGACCTCATTTTTTTATGGCTTCTTTCCTTCCAAGGGCAAGCAAAACCCTTTCGTGTTCTTTGTTCAAAGCAAGGGAATCTCGCTAAATCTTAACCTAGACTTGGTAAGTGCAAGTAAACATCCTTCAATCCTCGATCCTTGCTTAAAAAGGAGGTGACCGACAATTAAAGACTCAAAGGTTGAATTTAAAGCAAGAAAACCATTTCAAAACTTGGCAATCCATTTCAAAATTAGGTAATTATCAACAATTCTCCTAAGGTAATGGATGATAGCTAACAAATTCCAGATATAAAATACGCGAGTCATGTTTAACATCATAGATATTTATAGCTAACTTATTCAATATGTAGACAAAAGAACATCGTTGTTTGAATTTTTTTAGCATTCAATTTTTTTTCGCTAGGACCCTCTTAAAGGTTAACTCATAAACATTTTAAAAACTAAAAATAAAAAGCCTAAAATCCTCAATTTTTATTTTTCTGATCTCCGTATTCTTGATTTTCTTGCCTTGTGACCAGTGTAGATCGATTCAAAAATATCTAAGAAAACAGAAATAAAAAGCTTAAATATTCAGCTTTATTCTTTAGGTCTCCATATTCTTGAAAATTTTCTTGAGTTTATTTGTAGTCCTCTGCTTTGGGGGTCACTTAGGGTTCATTCTTGGAATGGCTTTATGTTATACTTTATTTAGTACATGTAAGCACTTCAATATGGGTTTGTTATGATCAAAACTAATTAATTTCAATCTTCGCTCATGTCGTCAACAATTTTTTTCTTTTTCTTTAATAATGAAAAATTAATATTGGTGATAACTTGAAGTGAGATATAAATGTCCTTCCCTTAAATCATATGTTATGTTATCATGTAAGCTAGGTTACCTAACAAATTGAGTGAAGATGAGTAGGAGGTTATTTGTGCTCGAGCTTATTTATCAAAAACTTGTTCAAGCTTGGCTTGAGCTCCATTTAGGCTTTTGTGATAGTGCTCGTGCTTGAGCTTGTTTGTCAAAAGTTTGTTCGTGCATAATATAAGCCTGATTCTAATTTGTTCATATTGTGATTAATGAGCCTTAAATGAGCTACTTATTTGAAAAAATAAATAAGCTTTATCAAGCATTTTTAAGTTTCTCAAATAAAACTCTCATTGAATAGGCTTTAGAAATGAGCTTTTTCTTGTCAACTCGAGCCTGTTTACATTATGTGTCTCTGGTGGATGCCTTCTCGAGCATCGAACCTTAATCAAGCTTTTCAACTGTCTTGTTCGTGTGTTTTAAATAATATTTTTCATGATCGTAGATGAACAGAGCAACAAGTTATTCAAGTTTGTTCATTCAACAACTAAGTATTTATGAAAAGTGTTCAAATTTGTTTGACCAGTTGATCAAATGATTATTTATATACTCTACTCTAATAGAGCATATTCCCGAGTAACTTGCAGAATACTCGATTCATTTGCAGCCCTTATATAAGTAATTTGTAAACCGCACATGACCAACTTCCCTTTAATTTCACCATCAACAAACATGTAAATATCCATTTAATCATGTATGCATCATTTTCATACAAATGTCTAATTATATTTTTTTATACCTTCTGTCCATATTACTACAGGAGACTGACAGTTACAGCTTGTTATATGTTAGCATGGAAATATCATCAGTTCATCACATATATAATCACTTAATCCAACAACTATATTTCCCCTTCTGCATCTTCAAGAAGTAACTAGACAATAAACTTAGATACCAAAGCAAGTTGCATGAAACTAGACTCAGAAAAAACTTATGATAATGTAAGGAAATTATTGATACATCGTCATGAAGTCTTGAATACAATCCAAGATTAAAAAGGCGGACGGAATATTAGAATAGAGTAGGCCCCTGTGAACATGTTGGAGCAATGGACAAAATTTTTGAGACCAATGCCTTCAAAATATCCATAAACATTGACATTGAAGTCAATATTGATTGGGAGGATTTGACAGATGGTTTTGTGATGAGAATGTAGAGAATTCATCTCTATATGAAGGCCCGTTTCTCTTGGACTTTGATGACATGATGTGTGATTGGTTTGTTAAGGTTCTTTTTTTTTTTAAATGTGAATGTGTGAAGAAAGTAAATCACTGTTCTTGTTAGTGAAAATAGTGTGAGATGAGAGGGTCTTGAATTGTGTGTGTGAGGTTTTTAAGATGACTGTGATGTGGGGTGAGTTATAAAGCAGAAAGATTGAATAAGTTTTATATTGTTCAAAGTGATGATGATATTTATGGGGATGCTATTAGTATAATTCAAGTTGGATGGTTGAAGTGAAGGAATGCATCATATCTATTGTGTGGTAGAAAAGTACATCTTAGAGAAAGGAAAAAAATTTAGAAGATGGTGGTGAGACATGCAATACTTTATGGCGCAAAATATTAGCCTTTAAAAGAGAAGCATAAAACCAAGTTAAGTGTTGCTTAGGTGTATCTGTGAAAGGGTGGTTGTAGCTCGAGTGGGTGGCAAGTTTGCGGAGAGTCATCTTAAATGTAGACCTAAAAAGGATGCATTAAAGCAAGTTAAGTGTTGCTGACCTCGTGATGATCCGGTTAGTACAGTATATGCTTTACATTCAACTTGTGTCAAAAAAATATAGATGTAGACCTAAAAAGATGTTGACGTGTTTTATAAAAAAAATATCTTAATCCATTAGAATTAAATAAAAATATAACACTCAATAGGAGGATGGAGAAGAATGATTCATGTAGCCGACTCCATTCAGTGGGATAAAGGCTTGTTGTGGTTGTTGTTGTAGTATTGGCCATTTTTTACCATCTTGAATGCAGGAGCTCTGGCAATGTGGTTTAAATCAAGAGTTTACTCTTTATAATAAAGACTTGGGGTCCAATCCATGCATTGACATGCATGACCCTACACATGGGCATGGGTGGCTTTTTTCACTTAGATCAAGGTCAATGTTGTAATAATAGGTTTCTAAGCCTAATAGAAGGATTTTATTGGCTAATGATGAAGTAAAACAAATTAAAAAACAATTATAAGTGTAATAAATTATTTGAACATGATTATGTAAATTAATTGATGTAATTAGAAGAAAATAATTCTTAACATCAATAGTCATTCAAGAGAGCATATGAATCTAGCGTAGTGTCCTATAAATGATTTTCAACTGTTGGTTTCATGTAAATGTTTTCTTAAGGTGCATGTTAGATGTGCTTAAATGCGGATCACATTAGTTCTAAACAAAGCGAAGAATCTCATGAAAACTATTGCATCATTGAATATGAAAAGAGTAGAAATGATTAGACTTTTTTGCATATTTCATTGGGGATCTGGGGCCCCTATTTGTATAATAAGGTTCTTGGGTTACTCTTTAGTAATTTCTAGGCATGAAAACTATTAATCATGTAGTGATTGCTCGATAAAAAGTCGTAAGACGGGATATGTAATGTACTATTTCAGACAAATGAAACGTTCTGGGATTATTTTAACACTTCTATAAATTCTGAGACTAACATAGGCTGTTTTGACATGAATAATCGGGGACTATTTTGCTAAATGTTAGAAATTTGTTCAGAATTTTCTTCAACTTTCTTTGAAGAAATATATAAAATAATTCTTATAATTGTTATTTGTTCACAGATTTAATTGTGAAAAAGTTATTTGCTTTTTAAAAAAATGAATTTTTTTTATCTAAATATTAGATTTATTGACATTTTTATGCCTTATGAAATATTAGATTTGAAAACTGTTCGTATGCATAAAGCTAAAGGGGCATTTACATACATACCAGCTAATTCCTACGTATTTACATATCCAACGCCAATAGTTTACTTTTCTTTTATATTTATGCTACATAAAATTTTATTGTCATATAATAAATACAATCATTTTTAGGGCTGTAAACGAGCCGAGCTTGAGCGAGCTCAGGTTTGGCTCGTTCGAAATATCGAAATAGCTCGTGTTCGAAAGAAATCTGCTCGTGAACAGTGTGTTTGTGTTCTGCTCGATTTAAATATTTGTGTTCGTGTTCGGCTCGCGTTCGGCTCGAAATTGACTCGTTAAACAGAAATTGAGAAAAATAGATGTAAAGTGTGGGATTCGAACTTGGATCAAATCTATACAAAAAAAGATACTAACCATATTGTCACGTGAGGGGTTATGATTTAAAATTAGACATAAATATATATAATATATTATTATATAAATAATATATGTAATTTATTGTTATATAAAAAAATTATATAATTTTTTTTTCGAGTCATTTCAAGCCGAACACGAGCGAACTGTTGTTCGTGTTCGGCTCGTTTACATTTCGAGCTTAAAAATTTATTCGTGTTCCGCTAGTTAGGCTTAACGAACGAGCTGAACATGAGCTTCTTAACGAGCCGAACACGAGCTGTTCATGAACAACGAGCCAAATTGACAGCCCTAATCATTTTAACTTTAAAGAAGTGAAATATGCCTTTTTCATGCATCAATATGGTGGTATGTCTGTAAAAATTGAAGTTTAGGTATTAGATATGTAAATATGTAATGTCAATATATAGCAATTGAGTGGTATGGAAATCCTCCGAAGCTAAATTAAATCATTTTTTAAGTTGTGATGCAAGAAATATTCACCATTATTCTCACAAAATATGAGTGTTTATTTATCAAATACGTCATTCATTGTCAAGAAACATTGAAGATTTACGTCTAATTTTGCTCTTATTAAATGGGAATATTATGATCAAAATTTTATTATAATAAATCTCAAAATTTTAATTTTATAAAAAAAAAATTAGAGAGTGAAATATAAATAAATAATTAGTATTTAATTCGTTTTAAAACAGATTTTAAGGATTTTAAGCCTCATCTTGATTGTTATTTTTTTATCATGATACCTTAAAACAATTTTTTCAACTTTAATTTTTTGCAAAATTCAACTTAAATTTTAAATTTGTTATGATTGAAAAAAATAAATTAATGGAGTTATTGAAATTTTATAAAGATGTGTATTTTTGTCAAATCTTTTGTGAGAAATATTTCAAATTCAAATTCAGGATCATTGAGATCTCGATTTTAAAATAAGCTTGTAATCAAGCAATGCGTCTAAATAACACAAATCCAATGGCGCTAAAAGTGATTGAATTCAAGTTTAATTAAGTCTAAATCAACCATTTGAAGTGAAATGAAAGATTTTGGCGTAACAATTGAAAGACTGAATGATATCGAAAGTTTGCATGCTTATGGTCAAATTGCGGGGCTCGATGTAAAGAATTCAGCGAGCTTAAAAGCTTTCAATTTTAACAACGTTGAGACACTTAAATGTTGAAAAAAGTTGCCCATGATCAAGAAAATCAGTGTGAACTCTGCGGTAGTGTTTTGGGTGATTAGCTAAATTTATCAAGATGCTCATCTCAAAAATTTAGATAAATTCTCATTTTTTTTTTTATTTAAGTGGGGGGAGGAGAAGAGAAGAGTAAGCTAAACTACTAAACTTTAACTCTTAAAGTCTCAACTTTTGTCGTTGGTCATTAGAGCTTCCCGCAAACCACTAGAGTTTTCCGCTGGCTACCCAAAGTTTTTGTTGACTATCACCATTAGTTACTATAGCCAATTACGACCATTAAGCCTCCAATTACAGGTTACTTTGTGACCAACTAGTACTATTATAGGCACCAACTATAGTTATCATAGCCCAATTATGATCATCTTAGCCAAACAACTATTATGAAGTTATGCTCATCATTTTTTTAAACACTTCTTAATTCAGGAGACGAGTAGAGCTCTATACTTTCAATTTCTTAGCTAATTAATTCAGCTGAGTCATGCACCGTGATTTTTTCACTCTCTAAGATTCTACCACAAAAAAATTAATTCTCTTACATATTTATAAGTGTGTGAGTTGGACAATTTACAGACCTAAAATAGAAGAGTACTCTAAACACCCTGAATTTTTTAGCATGCAACTAATATGAATTTATTTGACACTAATATTATTTGCTGGCAAGCTTTATAATAGCCTTAAGATGGATCCAAGCAGCTGCACATATCTGAATTTTGCTGTGCGCAGCAGCGTTCTGTTTTTTCAACTTTTCTGTAAGCTTTTGCAGATTTATATGAGATACAGAGTCTGTCCAATCAGCAGTTATCAAAATAAATATATTCAGAGTCCAATGCTACTTCCAAAAAAATTGCAATTTGTCCACAATAATTGTTGCAACCCCTTTGTCCCCTTGTGTAAATTATGGAATTATGATACCAGCGCAGGATATATTATGGTAAAATCATATTTGCATTAGAAAACTACTGAAAGTTAAACAATTTCCCAGTACAAATGTAATATCCTCAGGACTCAGCTATACAGTTGAAGAAGACAAGACTGATTTGTGGTTAACTTCTATCTAAGGGTATAAATAAACATGCTTAGATACACCATTTCACAAAAATAATAATAATAACAACTATTATTACATTTGCCAAGCAGAAAAATTTCATTTTGCCTCTTTTTCCAAATAATTACAGATGCTGTTCAAGCACTGAACATTATTGGTAATCAGGCTTCAAAACCCATCTACCACCATTTCCATCTTTCTCAAGCTTGGCTATCTCTCTTAGCAGACTCTTGAACAGAAGCAAGTCTTTTGTCTGTATCCTCTCCCTGAAGTGTTCTGTTATGCTTAATGAATCAACCTGGCCACCTCTTCCTTGTATGAAAGTACAGAGCTGGCGAATCATAACCTCCGGTTGCACTATAATTGGTGGCCTCGAGGTTCGCGCATTCGGTTTCGAGCTGGTAGATGCCAGACCAAGATCTTGCTCCAGCGCGTCGCCGATTTCTCGCTCCCGTCTCCCGCGAATTCGATCCAACAGCTCGGCTGAAGATATCGTCTTGCCGGCAGAAGCGCCGGCAGCAAACTTGCCAGAGGAAGAACCTTTCGTTTGTCTAGAAGAGCCAAGTAAGTGGGTGTTCACGGCAGATCCAAACTTTCGCGGAACGGAGAATGGAGCGCCGGCAGCACCCGACTTGCCGGTCCAAGTCGGCGTTGAGAAGCTCTCGCGACTCCGCAACATTCTCGACTCCCGCAACGCCTCTGCAGCCCTCTGCGCGACTCGGGAAGCTTGCTCCTCCATCCTCAATTTGTCATCGTCATGGGCATTCATGATTACATCATGGTTTAATGCGCTCTGGAAACAAAGATGAATCAATCCAAAAAAAAACTGTAACGCATAAACAAATGGAGGGTTTACATGCATACCACTCAATTCTTATGTATTTACTTATCTAGCACCTAAACTTCAATTTTTATATATATTTTATATATATATTATATATATATATATATATATATGAATTTGTAAATACATAAGAACTGGGTGGAATGTATGTGAATGTTCCACGAATGGAAGATTTACATGCATGCCACCCAATTCTTATATATTCACAAATCTAGAATCTAAAATTCAATTTTTAAAGATTAAATCCTACGAAAAATTTGGTTGGTGTAAATGTAAAACTTAAAGTTTAGGTGTTAGACATGAAAAGGCATAAGAATTGGGTGGTATGCATGCAAATTTCGCAAACAAATTGCATTGAAGGAAGAGAGAAGTGCTTACATGAATCCCATGAGCATCAAACAAGCACTTCAATATATCTTGTTCATCTGCGGCACCATTGCTTTGATTGACGTTTCCCTGTTGCTGTTCGGGTCCTGGAGAAGTCCCTTGAACCGGAGAAGTCCGCTCAGCATGATTATTGCTGATCTCGAGCTTTAGCCCTCCAGATAACTGGCCAAAGATATTTAATGTCTCGCTCGCTTTATCATTTCCTTCGTCCTGCAGAGTGAAGAGGTCCTTCATGTCCTTGGCTTTAAAGAATCTCCTCTGTTGAGGATTCTTCAAGATCTTGTTTGTCAGGAAATGTTTGTAGATCTGTCTGTGGTAAACCTTTTCCTCTATGGTTCCACGGGTGATCAGTCTATACACTGTTACATCTCGTTTCTGACCGATTCGCCAAGCGCGTTCTCTCGCCTGTTTATAAAGATTGTGAAGAAAAATCACAGTAAGACACATCTGGCTTGATCAGCTGAGATTATGGTGAGAGGAATAACACCAAAGTTGAGAGAATGAGTAGACTTAAGAGCAAAGTATCAAAGTGATCTACTGATTTTGTAATGGGCTTTTTAGTTCAGAATTATAAAAGTATCAAATTAGTCTATAGACTATTTTAATGAGCTAAAATAATTTTTCATTTAAAAGTCCGCTAGCCGTTTCTACCCATATTAGTATGGATATTAATTTAACACTTTTATAGTCTTTGAGACAAAAATGATCCCTTGTACATAGTCAAGGGGCCATTTGACAGTTTTCTACAAGATTTAATTTGTGGGCATATTTTTGGGCTTTATCATTCACGTGATTCGATTTTCCAGGAAGAAATAAGATCATAGGCCTAGAATATGAATGGAAATACTTAAAATTGAACAAGCAATGAGTATAATCAAACAAGCAGCTTCCAGCTAAATTGTAAGATTAAGGGTAAAGTGCCAAAATATGTTCATGATGCCAATTTAGTCCCAGAGTATAAGAGCTTCAAATTAGTCCTTAGACTCATTTATTATGAACTGAAATAATCCCTTAGGCCATAATAAATATGTCGAAGAATTAAATTGGCATTTTTATAAACTGGGACTAACATGGATCCTCACAAAGAAATAGTGAAAATTTAGACACTTTTCTCGTAAGATTAACATAAGAACACTGGAGATTAACATACTTCATTATTGATTACCTGCATATCTGTAGAAGGATTCCAGTCAGGATCATATATGATAACCCTGTTAGCACCAGTCAGATTTGTTCCCAAACCACCAACTTTAGTTGTCAATATGAAAATGAAAATTTCAGCGGAATTGTTGAACTCATCCATAAGAGCCATTCTATGCTTTACAGGAGTTAGTCCATCCATTCTCCTGTAGCTATACTCATTTCTGATCAGAAAACTCTCAATAATGTCCAAAACCTGTTGAGTTTGAGTAAAAAGAAGCACGCGATGACCTTCCTCCTTCCACACCTTGAGTACTTGAGCAACCACCTTCATCTTTCCGCTCCGTTCTGGATTTCCATAATCCTCATGCTGATGAGAATGTTCCCTTTCTAACAGGTCAGGGTGATTGCAGATTTTTCTCATCACATCTATTCCATAGAGGGAGTTCATGCTACCATCAAAAATTTTCTCAACCTCAGAGCTTGCGAGAAAAGCTCGGTAAACAGATCGCTGCTCCTGCGTTAGGCTGCAAAAAAGCACGTGTTCGGTTTTCTTTGGGAGCTGAGCTTGAACATCGGCTTTCATACGTCGAAGGAGATATGGCATGATCAAGTCTCGCAGGACGACCGCACATCTGTAAGCAGTAGATACTTGTAAAGGCGTTGCATTAGCGTACCCACCAACCGTGATCGGAACAACAAACTCAGACTCAAATATGGGTAGAACACCGAGTTTACCGGGGAAGACAAAATCAAAAAGTGACCACAGTTCAGAAAGCTTGTTCTGAACCGGCGATCCGGTCATTATGATTCGGTGCACGGTTTGTAACTGTTTGCAAACCAGGGTGACATCAGCATTAGGGTTTCGGATGCGGTGACCCTCATCCAAGATGGCGTACCCCCATTCAATACTGAGAAGCTTCTCGCCATGAATTCTAAGCTGCTCATATGTGGTAAGGAGTAGACCTGCTTCGGATCTCGAAACCCGATCAATCACATGATCCCAACTCTTCTTCAACTTCTTAGGGCACGGGCTGTCGCAATCACTATCCAATGAAGCTTCGCTATCATTGGAGCTCGTTAATGGCTGTGTCTGACCGGAATAGTGCAGTATCTCGACATTGAAATGAGGGTAGCATTTATGAGTTTCCCTAAGCCACTGCCTGAGAATAGTAACAGGGCAGATAACGATGCTGGGTTTGTACATCTTGCTGAAATGGAGAGCTCCGAGGAAGGAGATGACCTGAATAGTCTTACCAAGACCCATTTCATCAGCTATTATACCACCAGCTCTTTGACAGTGCAGCTCCCATAACCATTGGACCCCGACTTTCTGATAATCAAAAAGTTGCCTGTAAACAAAATTAGGTATCTTCAACCCTCCTTCAAGGATTATATAGGATTGATCTTCAACAGAGGAAGCCTCGGTCGGGTTTTCTTTATCATCAATAGAGATATCGTCGTCCCCATCTGAGAAGCAAAATCTGATATTAGAACACATTCTATATAAGCATATAAGAAGAAAATTTAGCATTTAGCAACATTAGGAAATGGAAAAAAAATCAGTATACACAAACAAGTTTAAGTTACTAAAATTAAGCATAAATAACAAATATAATCACGTTTTTTTGGAATTGGTAAGCAGAAATATAACCTCCATTGGGAAAATCTTCCTTCCGCGAATCATACTTTTGCCGTTTCTTGCCTGGGAAAGGCCTCTTTAACTTTCCAAGCTTTCGTCTTTTCTTCTCATGAACATCTTCGCTTGGAGAAATTTTGTAAGGTTTTCTTAACCTCTGGAAAGGTCGAGCAGGTGGATCAAGCACGGGTAAGGCTTCTAAACCAAGCAGTTTAGTAGATGGACGATTGCGTGCAATATCTTCCATTGATTGAGCCGCTTTAGCAATGGTAGATGAAACAAAATTCTCATTCGAAGCACCATTATCAACCACATTTTGATTTGATGGACCAGGAAGCTCTATGCGTCGCTCAAAACCTTTAATTTTATGAAAAGGAGTTAATTTTCCCTTTCGAATCAGTTCCTCCCTTTCCTAAAATCATAAAAGCTAATGATTAGCACATTTTCCAGATTACACAAATAGTTATTCTCCTAAAACTGTAAGGAATAATATAATAATTCAAGGAAAATTTACATACATACCACAAAAATTTTATGCATTTACATATTTTAAAGTTTAATATTTACACATATAATACCTTGGTATTAAAAACCTGTCGATGAAAAGGTGCATTTCTCTTTGAAGAAGTTAATGAAATTGTTATTTTTGAGGTGATGTCAAGCATTTGAGTGTTATGTATGCAAATATGAACATTCAGTGTTATTTTTTATGTGAAGTCAAAGATTTGAGTGTTAAGTATGTAAATATGAAAAACCAAATGTTGCTTTTAAAAAGTTAATGATGGTGTTATTTTTTATGTGATGTCAAAATTTTGACTGTTATGGATGTAAATTTGCATCTGTACCACACAATTTTATGCATTTATATAACTAACAGCTAAAGTTTGATATTTACATAGCACTTTGGTATTAAAAACCTTTGGATGAAAAGCTGTATTTCAATTTTGAAAAGTGGGAGATAGTGTTAACTTTGATGGTACGTCAAAGATTTGAGTGTTGCTCCTATAAATATGAAAGTATACTTGTTATATATTTAAATATGTAAGAATTGTGTGGTATGTATGTACATGCCCCAAAATTCAAAAGCTCACTTCAAAATATATATGAAAAAGAGGAACTGTAAATACTTTTTAATTTTAATAAACAAAGGCGAAAAATAGAAAACATACTGTTTCAACAAAGTCAGCAGAAGCTGCATCAAGCACTGCATCAAAATCAGTATCTTCATCATAAGCAACAGTTTTTAAAATCCTTTTTGAGTGCCTGTTAGATTGCTCCGCTTTCTTGTTCTTCGGCTTGTCTTTAACCAATTCGTCAAGTAATTTCTCATGTTCAATGTTACTAGCGGAACTCTGGTTTTCAAAATTTGAAATTTCTTTTTTGATTCGTGCTTTCGTTCTCTGAAGACTTTCTAGACGATCTTTTGCCAGTGCCTGCTGAAGCGACAATCCATCAAGGGTAACCTGGACAGGTTCAACGCTGTTCTTCGCAACATCAGTGGTTGTCTTATCGCCCAACGCCTCATTCTTCTCTTCCGTAATGCTCGAAGCAACAGCATTTATTTCGACTTCAACCGCCTTCAATTTGTTATAGAGTTTGACGCAACTTGATGATGATGGATCGGTAACTTGATCAAGCACCTCAGAGCTCTCAGCAGAATCACTTTGATTATCATTTCTTGCCTTAACATAAACAAAGCTAACATTAGTGTTTTCCAAAAATAAAAATCAACTATGTATATGTTAAAGAGAAAGTAGTCTCCTGACTCTTTGCATGGTGGTCATTTAAGTCCAAGAGTCTATAAAAGTGCCAATTTAATTTTCATAATCTTTTAATATAGGTTAAAAAAGTCCACACAAAAAAAATTATTTCGGCCTCAATTTAAAGCTTGCAAAGAGTCGAGGGGCTATTTTGACACTTTACTCACATTTCAAAGTGTACCTACTGAGAATAGATTAAAAAAATGGAAGGTTGTCTAGTCTTGCAAAATTTTTAGTCAAAGTGATAATAATTTTGGACATCAAACCCAAAGAACCAAAGTCATTCACTTTATTGCATCCTTATTATTATAGTAGGTGTCAAAACACAATATCTATAAAAATTAACCTAAACTCTACAGGCATCCCATTGGTGGGACTCACATGGATTGAGTGCCCCACTCCATTCAGGCAAGCACCTAGTGTCTCGAGCATTAGGCAAATATGTTACCTTGACAGTGTCTAATGTCTTTAATAACACTAACTTTGAGCCATTCAAAGTTTTACCACATAACAATTTCTACATTCTCTATTACTCCACGGTAAACTTGGTGATGTTTTGTTGCCTAACATTTGTTGCATAAATGATGGTGATCAAATTGCAAAAGCGCTCTGAAAATCTATAATCTATGGAGCTGGATTTACCTTTTCAGAACCAAAAAAAAAATCTTAAGGGGAGGGGGTATGAATTGAATGTTTATTATTAAAAATATTAATGGTCTGAGATATTTAAAGACATTAAAATATCTAATTTTCCCATGTGCCCTTATGAGTATTCATTGTCTGAGATGTTTAAACTATTCTTCACAAACCATTTTGAACAACTTCTATCCATTTACTCTTATTAGACCTTAAACTTAAAAATTTAACAGTCAATGTTACTCACATGGTTATTCGTAGTGCACAGAAACCAAAAAAACATACAACTTCTGAATTTTTTCTTTATTCCAATAATCCAAGTCGGATCATTTGTGAATAAATTCAGGAGCTCACATGTTATCCCAAAATTTATTTCATTAATAATTTCAACAAAAGAAATTCACCACATAAGGAAATAATGTTTCTAGCAATGCAAACTTCATTTATCATGAAGTTAATATACAAAAAAATAAAAATATTTCGCATAAAATTTTACCTGTGCAGAACACATATCCTTCAAATAAATTTATTTATCAAACAGTTAATGACAGACAATCATCATGAAAATATTTTCGCATATTTTTTAATTAACAAGCTAAGGAAGATACACACTATTTCCAAAAAAAATTCTATGGCTCATTGACTGTACAATTAAAAGACATTTTTCTAAAATTTTCCTAGAAAAATTTTTAAGGGAGCAGCAATTTGAATTAAAAAGGTTCAGAAAATCAAATAAATATACATCCCCTGAAACAGCACTAATAAATTTAACTTTCCTCGGCCATTCATAGCTTCATGATTGTGAATCGTTGATGGTTTCTATAATGATCAACTATAAAAGCAACAAGGAAAAAGGGAAGATATTAACTGCAAATACACATTTAACTTTCCCCATAATACCTTAACTTGACCTCAAGAGTTCTACAGAGAGCATATGAAAAGAAATGTTACAATCAGTAAATTACAACAATCTCATGTAATATGAACAATTAACAGCCTTAAGGGGCATATTGAAAAAAAAAAAAATGGTTACCTGCAAAAATAGTTGACGCTCTATAGCTTATGGTTACCTGCAAAAATAGTTGAACCTGCAAAAATAGTTGACGCTCTATAGCTTCAGGTGCCACAGATGTGACACCCAAACTATTCAGCAGAAATTTGTCCTCATCATCTTCCTCCATGGGAAAATATTTGATCAAGGTTTCGTTACTTCTAATGTTCTGCACATCAATCATCATCATCATAATAATTAGCATTATCACAGCAATTTGGAAAAAATGAAATTCTTTTGATGAATTTATCTTTATACAGTCACAAAAAAGTCAAACCATGCATAACGGCCTAAAATTTACTAAAATTAGTTTTAGAAACACATTCCGACATCTACTAAAAAGAATGGTCAAGAAGAAAGATAAGTATGATACACGATTTTACTGTGTATTTATTATAATACACGATTTTACTGCATGCTAAATAAATACAAAAGTAGAAGCCATAGAATTATTAAAAAGACATATTAGTAATTAACTAGTAAAATCACTCAAAAAAAATTCTATCAAACAAAAATAGACATAAGTTTAGTACTTTTTACTTATGGAACTTCTAATAAATAATATACTACAAAGAGACATAGTGAGTCTAGAGATAGACCTCCATCCATCTGATCATTAAGGGTATTTTTCGTTCATGATGTAATGCTCAAAATCTAAGAGGAGTTTATTGCTTTAATGCAGTTTTCACAAAGTAATTAAGCGTCTAGGTTTAATGGACGGCGGCATAAAGGTCATTTTATTTACAAGAAATTGATTAATCAACAATACATCTCCATCATCCCTATTGTACTTCAAAGAACCTCAGAAAAAAACAATATTTCCCATATGTGTCGTTATTTTTGCTTTCCTTGTCTATAGATTAAAATTCTGCAGAAAACAACCTCTTCATATGGACAAGCCAGAATATTTAATAGAAAACTCATAATTTCCCTTATAGCATTCAAGCTTTCACACTTTGTCCAGTACTACAAAAATCGGTGATAGTTAATGTACATATATGATATACGTTCAATACATGTTAATCAGTAAGTTTTCCTACCTATCAGAGTTATGCATCTAGTAACAAAAATTTCTCCAAAACAAACTCTGAATGGGTTAATGGACCAAGAGGGTGCCCTCTAGCCTAGTCTCAAACTCGAAACTTCTCCTCAAAACCCATTCTTCCATTTAAAAATTCATCAATTTATCATTAACAATCAGACATACCAATCTAATTGGACTTTTGATGAAAAAGAATGTAATTTCATGCAAAAAAGGAAAATGATTTCTTTAAGAAAAGCTTCCCAAATTAAAATGTATTGTTGTTAAATCATCATCCTCATCGTAACAATAATGTAACAAGTTTATTCTTATTCCCATCATCAAGATGAAGAAATGAAAAAAAACTCCATTCATCATTACCCTCATCCATCACGGCAAAGAAGCCGCGATGCTGGGTCAAGCCCTGGAAAACAGAGAAATGCCGTTCCAAGTAAAGAAGAAGCCGCCAAGGAGATGAACAATAGACGAGTCAGGGCTATGTGGTGCAGGATTTGAACAGGATTTTAGCACCAAACAGAAAAAAATGTCAATTTTAAATCCTACAGAGCCTTAAATCCGATTCTCCCGTGCTACATGCCTTGAATCCCGGATTTAGTAAATCCGATCATTGGACGGATTTAACAGCAATCCACAAATCTCTCGCAAACTCCTCTCCTCCTTCCCAAGCCGCTGGTCCCTTCGTTGCCTTCTTCAGCCAGCTCCCGCCGCGATTTCCTCGCTCCTCGAGGGTTTCGGTTGGAGAGAAGAGGATGCGTGTTCGAAGTTTATAAATTGGGACATTAATATATACCTAGACCCCAAAAAAAATTTAATATATATTTCACACCCAATAAATTCTTTAAATTACACAAACACCCAAAACATTATATCACAAAAATAAAACTCCACATTAAAGATAATAACTGTCACCAAAGTCTGTTACAGATCATTCGCCGGAGCTTCTCCCCCGACCTTCGGGAGGGTTTTTCCCTTCAGCTTCAGTCTCGTCGGAGAGACCTCGGCCTTTATCGGCTCACATTTCGACTGCAAGGAAACCCTAGAGGCACTCGTGTTTAAGGTCGATCTCCTAGAGCTTAAGAGGGAGGAGATGAAAGGGGAGGTGGAGGAAGGTAGATTGCTTCGGATCAGTGGGGAAAGTAAGCCGGAGAATGAGGAGAAGACTGATACCTAGCATCACATCGAGCGCAGTAGCCGCAGCTTCCTCCGACGCTTCCACCGCCGGAAAATGCGAAAATCTATGGCGTTAAGGTTGCCATGGAAAACAGCGTTCTCGGCGTCACAATCCCTAACCTATAGTTCTTTAAAACGGAAAATAACTAACCAACGTAACTAACCAGATTTAATACATAATACACAGAAAAAGGAAACCGTAGTTTAGGGCAGAGAGCGAGGGCAGAGAGGAGCTTACCCTTCGTTGCAGGCGGTGTGCTCCGCCCGTTCTCCGAGCGACGTGTTAGGGCCTTTGATGTAAATCGCTCGAACGAAACGCGGATCGTGGGTAAGAGAAATCACCGAACCGCGTTTTCCCAAACGCACAAGTATACAAATTTTTAGTAAAATTGCATTCATGTGATTTATTAAATAGTATTTGTAGCTTGGTGTGAGAGTGAGCTAGATTTAGCTCGATTCGTTAATGTGCTCTTGAGTCGTGTCTATCGAGCCTCGAGCTAGAGCTCGTCATGGCTTAGCTAGTCGGCGCGTGAGATGTTGTGGCATTTCTCCTTATCTCTGCTCATCCATTAGTTTTGCCATGTCGCAAGCTTCAACAACCAATAGTAAGTTATTTCTTTCGATTTGTGTGTGTTGTTGAATACTTCTACGATGTATGGTCTCATATTATTCGTGAGTTCTTTTAACTTGAAAGAGACCTATATAAGTCCGAAGAGGAGAGGGGGAGGGAGGGAGAGAGCACCCCTCTCTAAATGCATAAGAAAGAATATTAAAACATGAGCCATACAATATGATGTATGCCCATAATGTCCATACAAAAATACTACAATGTGGATGTTAGTCGGCTCAAAAATGGTCATGGGCATACATGTTTAGACTTTGATCCTTACTTCAATTGTATGTTAATCTCGAGGACCACCAATTGGGCAAGCTAAGTGAGCTGGTTTAAGGAGCGTTTATTCACTCATGGAAAAATAATTGATGGCACTTCAACACTTGTTGTATAGGTAAGTCACTTCAAGGAGTCAATCTAACAGGTTAATTTGCAATATAGTTCGACAAGTCTTTCCGCTAGGTACTCTTAATAGGTCTGCTAGGTAGAAGAATAGATAGGTTGTGCCCATGTGATCCTATAGAGATTCATGATGGGTTAGGAGGGCTCGTTTATCTTGTGGTTGGCTCACTGTCAATTCTTTGTGTATGTGTGTGTAAATGTAACTTAATTATTATTTTACAATAGGAGCAAAAGAAAATTAATTAATATTTCTTATATATTTTAAATTTTATGATTTTAAAATAGCATCACAAATAAATACATGTGTAGCACATGCATTTAAATAAATTCATGCGTTAAAGATGTATTTATTAGTTTTATATTAAAATTCTTCACTGTTAATGCCAAGTCCAAATTTAGATGAAAAATACTGAATATGTTTTTGAAATTATTAATTTACGCTCTTCACTTTAAAAAATTTTTTGGCTCCCGAATTGCTAATACCATTTGTTATTTGACTTCTACTTGAGCTCGAGCTTGCTTTTTTATAAATGAGACGAGCTTTGAGTTTGACTTGAGTCTCTTGCACCCTTGTTTGCAACCAAATAGATCCTAATTATACGTGGCTTTGTGTATATACCAATACCATCGGCACAAATCTTAAAGCAATTAAACAGCTAAAGATGATGGCTCAACGATCTAGGCGTTAAATTCAAGAGACATTATATTGACCCGTAATCAGGAAGATCGACAAACTGATCAAATCCACTTTCGACAAAAATCGGTCGGCAAACCTTTTTGTTGTCCCAATCGTCCAAGCCCCAAAAAAGTTGGCTTAGTGCAATCGGCTGGCCGACTACTCATACCTCGGCAGAAACGATCTCTAAGAGGCCAATTGCTTTAGTCGACCGAACTAAAACATGTCGAAAAGCTATTTATCACCATACTCAAATTCAAAACATAACACAAATTTAGTATTAAATCAATACATCGATTGTATTGAGAGCAGTTTCCATAATTGTTCTCTCTTCTTTCGACAATTATGGCTATTTCCATAATTATTCTCTCTTTTCTGCAATTGTGCAAGAAGGTCTCCTGTAAATAAGAGGTTTGACGATAAATAAAAGAACCTCTGTCATAGGACCTTTTCCCCAGCTTCTCCCATGATAATTCACAAGCATTTTTTTCTTTTTCTCTACTATTCCTCTGGTCTCTAACTCTCGAGGCATGTATTTCCATAGATCAACTCCAGATTCAACATCCTGAATGGTGGCGTAGTGAGCGTGGACATGCTCCAAACGAGAAGTAAAACCAACTACGAAGGAGAATTCCTGCAGACAGAAATAACACCCTTGTAGTTCAATAGAGAGATGATGCGTCAAGACGTACAGTAAAAAATCCAAACTTTGCAAGCACAAATAATGGACCAGTCCGAGACTCTTCAGGGGTTCGTGAACCAGCAGAACACTTGACCACCACCCCTGGAGTGAGATTCTCAGATATCCCGCCCTCAAAAGGCTCCCCCGACAATCCACTAGTGCCTCGTGGTTGGCACAGTGACCAGCTAATCGAAGAACCTGAATATTCCCAACCGGCAAACAATGTCGCATCTGCGTTGGCACTCCAACATTAGGTGGACCAGGGTGGGAACTTTTGCTCTCGTTTAATAACGAGCTCCAATTAAATTTTGAGCTCATTGAGGCTGCTCGAGGCTTGGCTCATTTATACCCCTATCTGCATCAGCTGAATCTTGAACGCTGATTTGACTGGCTGCATTAGTCCAAAAAGAATAGCTCTCACATGAGTGGTTTCTCATTACCTTCACATAAAAACTCTTCTGCTCTTCTAGACGACGTTAAAATATAAAAGACACTACGGATATTATAATTTATATATTCGAGACAGTAAATGACACATCAAGACAGCGAGAAATCTAAAAGATTCTATATGTAATTAATACATATATATATATATATATATATATATATACATGGGCTAATAAAATATTAACTAAAATAAAACTAACCTTTGTGTGCCCAGTAGCATTATGTGATGTAACCTTTTCTCTTTTGGGAGGGTACGAAGGCTTTAAGGTTTAAGGTTGGAAGGTTTCAACCATCAGGACTTATAAAAATATAATAGTTATTTACTAGTTATTTAAGGAATACATGATTTATAATATTAATTTAACTAATTGATAAAAATAAAATTTTTTAAGTGTTATGACATACAAAGCTAATATTATACTTAATTAAATACTATCATTTTAATTCATGCACAACATGCAAGTATTCTTATATCATAATTCATAAGATTGTTAGAAAGAAATTTCATTTGAATGTTTTTTATTTTATATTTAAAAAAAAATATTCCTTTTTTGTAGCACATTATCGTTGTCTAAGAACTTGAAAGTTTTGTTGAGGCTTTTTTTGCTCATTTTAAGATGCTTCCAACCATGCTGTTTGTGCTCTATGTGAGCGGTAAGAATTGGACTAATCTTATGGAGCAGGAGCAGACCAATATCACTTACTTTTCACAATTGTTGTAAAATTTTACCTTAGTTATGCTTAACCACACTCATCTCGTGTTCGGCTTCCTGCACCAGAGGCCGCCTCTACTCTTCCCTCTTTTTTGCACGCATGTCTTGTGCTCTTTCGTCCGAGCTGCACCCCCTCCTTCTTTGTTTCTCGATTAAGTATCTTTTTCAGTTTCATCCTCGACTCCCCATCCTCATTCTTCTTGCATAATAATAACAAATCAGTTAAAAGTCATTTAGTTGAATCATTAATCAATTTGATTTTTTTAATTATGAGACTTTACAAAAATAAACTTTTTTAACTCATGATTTTTTTTTATGACATCCGTTGAGATTGAACTCATTATACTTTAACGCACATGATTGATAATATGAAGAATCAAAGTGATGTTCTATTTTTTCCCCTCTATGAGAATGAAGGTTGTTTTTATTTTCACTTATATTATTGTATTTTTATATGTTTTTTCCATATTTTCTATTTTCTCTCTCTCTCATTCTTAGGCTGACTTTTTCTATAAGTCAAACTCAAACCATCATCAATAAAAGTCTGACCTGAAAGCTCACCTTTTTACTCATTCATTGATAGTGGTAAGAGACTTTTTGTTAGGATTGACATATCAAAATGTTTAATAAAGTTTAGTTTAAAGTGTGAGAATGTCATATAGAATACTTGGTCGAAAGGTGAGAAATTTAGAGAGGTATCATTGACTGCATAGAAATCTCATCTCAAAACTTTGGAGAGGTATTACCCCCCAAGAAAAGCTCCTCTTAAAACTCTCCCCAAGACAAAAGCTTTCTTCTTTGACCCTTCTAACGTCCTAAGGAGATATCACCAATTGCTTAGAGATCTACTCTCAAATGTGGTAAAAGCCAACCTTCCCTCGCTTCGGTTTTGTTCAAAAGTGGCAAAAAATTCATGCAAAGTGAGGATCTTTTCTCCTACGTGTAATGCATGTGAGGTCCCTCCATTTGAGCTGGCAGCAAGCTGCTTCAATACTAAACAAGCTTGGGCACCTAAGTGCCTAAGCGCCCAAGCCGGGGGTGCCTAAGCACAACATATAAGTATTCTTATATTATAATTCAAGCACAACATATAAGTATTCTTATATTATAATTCATAAGTTTGTGAGATAGAAATTTCATTTAAATATTTTTTAAGAAATTTTATTTTTAATTTTTAAGAAAAATTATTCCTTTTTTGTAGCACATTATTGCTGTCTAGGAAGTTGAAAGTTTTGTTGAGCCTTTTTTGCTCATTCTAAGATGCTTCCAACCATGTTGTTTGTGCTCTATGTGAGCGGTAAGAATTGGACTTATCTTATGGAGCAAGAGTGGGCTAATATCACTTACTTTTCACAATTGTTGTAAAATTTCACCTTAGTTATGCTTAACCACACTCATCTCTTGTTCGGCTTCCTGCACGGAGGCCACCACCACTCTTCCCTCTCTTTTGCACCCATGTCTTGTGCTTTATCATCCAAGTTGCACTCTCGCCCTCTTTGTTTCTAGATTAAGTATCTTTTCAATTTCATGCTCGACTCTCCTTTTGCATTCTTCTTGCATTATAATAACAAGTCAATCAATAACTATTTAGTTGAGTCATTAACTAATTGGTTTTTTTAATTATGAGAGTACAAAAAATAGACTTTTTTTTACTCCAAATTTTTTTAAGATCATTGTTGAGATTGAACTTTTTATACTGCACAAGATCGATAATATGATTCTATGTTTTATTTTTTTCCCTCCATTATAACAAAGTTTGTTTTTCTTTTACCTTATATTTTTGTATTTTTAAATGTTTTTTTCCTATTTTTCTATTTTCTCTCCCTTATTCTTAGGTTGACATTTTCTATAAGCCAAACTCAATCCATCATCAATAAAAGTCTGACTTGAAAGCTCACATTTTTACTCATTCATTGATAGTGGTGAGAGTTTTTTTGTTAGGATTGACAGACCAGAATGTTTAATAAAGTTTTGTTTAATAAGTGAGAATGTCATATAAAATATTTGGTCGAAAGGTGAGAACCTTGTAGGTATCACTGACTGCTTAGAGATCTCACGTCAAAACTTTAGAGAGATACCACCCTTCAGGAAAAGCTCCTCTTAAAACTCTCCCCTGACAAAAGCTTTCTTCTCTGACTCTTCTCCTTGCCTAAGGAGATATCACCAACTGCTTAGAGATCTCCTCTCAAATACGGTAACCGCACACCTTCCCTCCCTTTGGTTCTTTTCAAAAGTGGCAAAATGTTCATGCAAAGAGAGGATCTTTTCCCCTATGTGTAATGCTTGTGAGCTCCCTCCATTTGATCTGGCAGCAAGCAGCTTCGACAAAACTGGGTTGGGTGTCTAAGCGCCTAAGTGCCTAAGTCGGGGGCACTTAAGCACCACCCCCATCTGGAAGCAGGTTTTTGGGCGCATAAGCACTCGACTCTTGATCATTTGGCTGGGAGTGCTACTCTAGGCACCTAGGTGCTTAAATTGGGAATATAGGCACCCAAATTGGGAGCATAGGCACTAGTCTGGGCACCTAGGTGCCCAAGATTGAGCACATATGCACCCAATTAGCTTCAAAAACTTGGTTTTTGGCCTCCTTAATTTGATTCAAGCTTCCCACGGATGGTTTTTTATCAATCATCAGATCATTCAAGGCAATCTGTAAATGAAATATGATTGTCAAATATCCAAATGATCATTTAATATGTATCATATTAGATGAAAACCACCGTCGACGTCAAGTATGGTTTGAGTTCTTCAAACCCTAATTTTACGCTCAGACGTTCGTTGAAGGGTTTAATGAATCTGTAAGCTATGTGAGGATACATATCAATGAACTATGGTACAATAAATTAGAAATGGACATTTTACGTACATCGGAATAACAAATGTAGTGTAGCAGCGATCGCCTCCGGGAACAGCCATAGCAAGACAAACCTTAATTTCGTGTTTGAACCATCCATTGATAGTTGTATAAATTCTTCAAGTTATGGAAAGCTACATATAAATGTAATATGGTCCCATATCATTTGAAAGGGCATTCTATATGTGTAATATCAAGAATTGATGCTATTGGGTGCATCGGTCTATGACAGGGGCGCATTGGATAAAAAGCCCTAATAATGTGCGCCAACAAATTTTTGTGGATTTCTTGAGCTATGAGGGGTCATATGTGACTGAAATACAATCCCCTAGCATTTGCACGGATTTCCTACATGTGTGGCATTAAAAATTTATGCCAAACAGTAGCTAGATGGTGAGGGAAGGGCAACACTGCTCTATGATGATAAATAAAAATTAGATGGGGGGTTTGAAAACAACAAAATTGTGTTGGTGATATTGATGGTGGCTTGAAGACATTTGTCTGATGATGGTAATTGTTTGAAGGTGTTAGCATAGTAATGGCATTGGTGACAGTTCAATAACAATGATTCGACAATGAAAGTAGTTTGCATGTGTCAACTAAACACCAAAATTGATAGAACTAATGATGGTTCGACGGTGATGATCGACTATGGTGGTAGGGGTCCAGTGATTTTAGTATACGGTGGAAGTTCAATGGTGATCGATGGTTGGAGCTCATGAATTCTTTACGCCTCAGAACACTTATGAATCTCTCCTTCAAGTCCAGGGTTCCCCCCTCTACATGAAGAGTTGGGGCTCATGTACACATTTTTATATTACATCACCATAATCCAGAAGATTCCATCAAATAGTTCAAATTGATTGTCACGATCACATAAATGTTTTTATGTGTTTGTCATACGAATGCCATTTTTTTTTTCATGACAAACATTTTAATTGTAAGCTTCCAGGATTTAGAGATCATTAGATACTCCAATTAATATCCTAAAACATTTTCATAAGTTTTAGGTACTTGATTTACGCTCATTTAGACTCAGATCAAATTTTTTTTTTTTGCTCAAATCATAAAGAAGTTTGGATTAATTGTTTGTTTACTAAAATCAAAGATTAGATTATTATTAACTTGATTTTGTTATCTTTCAATTTCAAAATGCATTGAAATATGTGCCTAACTAAAGGATTTTTTTTTTTGATGTATCATTTTTGGCTCGTATATTTAGATATTTAACTAGTTTTTTTTGAATAGATATAATTAGCTATATCTTTTATCTCTCCCTCAATGATTTGATGCTACATTTAATCCAATCTCCCTTAGTGGATCGTTAATATAATTTTTATTATATTCACATAACTACTCTTCCCCATTTAATGGGAGGCGCTATTACAACCTTCTCTAGTAATACTTCTACTTTAGGTTATTTAACAGTCTCTTATCCAATATATAGTATCATTCAAATCTTCACCCAACACCATCTCATTCACCTCCATACATCTTCATCGTATGGGATTTTCACTACAATATACTTATTTTACTATATTTACATAAATTCAATTTCTAAGGCAATGGTGACTATTAGTAATTCAAAGCTATAGCATAAGAAACACTAATCTAAGTGGATTATACCACATGTTTTTTTTTTTGGTTTTTTTAAGCCATTTAATTTAAAAAAAGACAAATTTTGTGTATATTTTACCTTTTTAATTGCATGTCATCATTTGTTGCCATGACAATAACCTCTTTTCCTCCATCATTTTGATATTCCAAAATATCATTCACCCATTCTCCACATCTTGAATATATATCACTACAATATGCGATTGATGGCATTAATCCTCATCATCTTCCACATGGCCGGACGGGATAGTTGTCATTCAGATTTCACGCCGACCGAATGTATGAATATTATTCAGTTGCCTTCTGATATAAAAATTTGTCTTTTAGGAAAGACCTTTTTCACCGGGCGGTTCCCAATATATCCTCCTCCTTCTAACTCCATTTCTCGGTTAACTTTTCTTCTTCCCCAAAATCTCATCTTCCCCCCCACCCCCCCACTCTCCCGCTCACTCACCTCCCTCATTCTTCGCCTTGGTCGTTACCTTTGCTCCGACGGGTATGACGGCGCCAAACATAGAGGCAATAGCGGCGTCGCTAAGGAACTGCTCTCTTGGCGGGAGAACAGAGTCGTCGGAACTTCAGCCGCCGCCGGCGGTGGAGGTGGCGGTCGATACGGCGGAGATCCGGCCATCCGTAGTGGAGGAAACTGTGGAGTACGACGAAGTAACGGTGGAGCTCAACTCAGAAGTTGCGCTTCCCTACCACTGGGAACAATGCCTTGACTTAAGGGTATTTATTTTGTACCCAAGCATCATCTCTCTCTCTCTCATTCCCTCTTCTTTAAATGCCGCCTTCTCCTTGCAACTATTTCCCTTCTTCTTCTTCTTCTTCTTCCAATCATTGATCATTAATACTCCAGCGGGGCTACCTTGCTCTCTTCCAAACATTAATGGCCTCCAATTAAGTGCTTTCTAACCTTTTCCTTGCCTTATTTCTGTTATTTTCTGTTCTTCCTCACTCTATAGCTTAGAAAGGCAAAAACACAGTGGAGAAATTAAGAAGCAAGATTTTCTTCCATGAAAATATATCTCTTCTCTCTCCTCCCTCTCTCCATTTCTCCTGGTTTTTCACATGCCAGTCTCGTCGTTTACCTCTTCTGCAACATTCTTTATCCACCCCTTTTCTTCAAAGTTAACTCCTTTACCACTTTCGGTCACATTTTCTCCTCTTTTTTGTTCAAATTAAGCATCTAAAGCTTCTCATTTTAATGCATAGTTTGAAACTTTTATGGCTATTCTTCTTTGTCTGTTTCACCGGTAGACAGGGGAGATTTACTACATAAACTGGAAGGATGGTACGCGAACGACCGAGGATCCTCGTCTCACTACAACCAGGTGTGGGACGAGCTGCTGCTCGTCTGATGAGACCTCTGATTTAGACGATGAGGATGCCGACGAAGAAGACGAAGACTACTGCGAGGCAGAGGATAGCAGCAGTTCAGTCGGCGAAGGTGCAGGATATGATGATTTCTACGGCATCACTACCGAACCTCTTTCAGGAGTCCTCTACGGAGCGTCTACCTCCACCTCCGGCAGCAGCAGCAGCAGCACCACCAGCACCTCCACCGCCGGTAACCAAGTTCTTGTTGCGGCCGGCTGCAAGTCCTGCTTTATGTATTTCATGGTTCCAAAGCGCGTGGAGGCCTGCCCCAAATGCGGTGGATGTCTTCTTCATCTCGGCCGAAACGGCTACTTCTAAGTACCGCCGGCTTCTCCATCATCGTCGTCATCCTCGGCGGCGGCGGCCGTCATCTGGAATGAACCAGGGAGGAAAGTAATTAAAAAATCCCTTTTTTTAACGCCAAAGCTGCCATCTTTTTTCTCCGATTTCAATTTTCTCCCCCATTGATCACCAGATGTGAATGTTAGAGAGGAAAAATCACAGACCACAAACATGTAATTGTGTTTTAATCCATCATTTGTCTCTAATGTCTTCCTCCCCGCATTCATTGAGAAAAAAATTTATCAGACGGAATGATTTAATTGTGGGAAATAGTTCTGTCAGTAAAAGAATTTTTGGTCTCATTCTGTTTCGTCCTGGTGCGTAGGGAGCCACGCGAGCTCTGAAGCAAAGAATCTGATTCGTTTTCTTCTCTCTCATCCCACGGGCCAAAATTGACGTACCTGAAGTGGTCTAGTCTGGGCGTCTGAGCTGCGCGATAAGAATTCCAGATCTGATATCATCTTTTGCTTATGCCTATGCTTTGAATCATCTTCTTCGTTTGTCTGCCCAACTTGATACAAATTGAGCTTTGTTTTGATTTGTAAATATGAATTTACACCACTTTTCACACTGTATAAAAAAAAAATTACATATTAACCACCTAAAATATTACAAATAACGTTTTTTAACCCCCCAAAACGTAAATATATTGGAGTTAAATATTAGGTGATTAAAATGTTATATGTAATATCTTGGGATTGTTGAAGTGATTATCTGACAAATTTAAATAACTAATTATTGTGAATTTTAAAGTACTTGCCAAGAAATTATGATGTCCTCTATCACTGTTGCAGCCAGACACTGGAATATTTGCATGACATATTCGATAGAAGCAGTGCATGTGCGGTACACTATGGAGATATTTTCTTCATTGTGCTCTTCCTTCGAAATACCAGTCTATAACGACATGCCTTCTCCAAATGGACTTGGAAAACTTCATCATTTGATAAACTCGTTATAATAAGTCCACTTCTTATATAATAATGTACATAAAGAGTGTGTCAAGCAGATCCGAGGAAGAAAGAAAGTACAACAAAGGAAGACTCAAGAAAGAGAGACCAAGAGGCCTAATTATAAAACTGCAGACATCCATATCAGGATAATGACAAATAGAATCATCCGAGTCCGAACAGATAGAACTAGAGCAAGACAAATAAGCATTAGAGATAACCATCACTGGAAAGCCGAACAAAGGCACCGAACTATTTCTGACCCGAGGAAATAATACAATTCCTCGCCATTGTCAGGCTTCTCATGGGATATTACATGCATGAGGTTTCTTATCAGAGACTAAAAATTGGTAATTCAACAGAACTTCACAATCACCCCGAAGGACCCAATCACTAAGAAATTAGCTATCCATTGGGTTACGGTGAGTTACCATCTCCTCAATAAGATTGTCCCGTTTTGCTTATAGGAGTCTTTTATCCAGGAATCGAGGGCCGATACTCAGACTAGATAAACCGATAGGTAAAGCCTAGTTGATTGAGTCAGTCTTGCTTACCCAAAAGTAATCGAGTTTAGTCAATCGGTTGCATCAGATCAGCCTAGTCCGACCGAATAGGCCTTAACTAGTCGAAGTCATGCTAGCCCGGTCGACCGAGTCATAAGGCAACCGAGCAATACACTCATGCATGTAAAATACATGGAAAGCCCTATAAAACCCTCATTAAAGTAGGGGTATAAATATAATATCACATATTATACCATCTCCCTTATAAATAGATAGATCATTTTATGTAAAAAAAATGGATAGATAATATATTTTATTATTCATTATTGTTCACACATCTCTATGTCATTGTCTCTCTCTTTTCTTTCTTACACTTTAACCCTTGAGGCGCGATTCACGGATAAATCAGAATTCAACAGATAGCAACCCAAATTCACTAAGAATCTAAGAAATCCATATTCACGAAATCAAAGAATTTGCCTTTTATGACCGTCTAAACAACTACTGAGATTCGAGCACGCCGCGTGTAAATTCCAAAGGAGTGACATGCTCGAGTCTCAAGGACTTTCCACACATACACATGCCATGCCTAATATTTTCTCGTCCAACATATCTTATTATGAAACTTGCATCAGCCAGATTATCTCGGGAGCCTTGACAGATTCAAAGTCTAATTGCTGACCCATCATTTAACTTTTAGTTGGTTCATAATGCATATTGCCACTTTCAATAGCTACTAATGTTAGCAGTTGACAAATGTTAAGTTCTAGACTCATCCATCAAATGCTATACATTAAATTTAAAAAATGAGCATGCATGGAGATAAATAATTACTTGAAAAAAATAAACCGAGATAATTAAATATGAAATTGATTTGGATGAATGGATTTGATAAAATAAAATAAAATAAAATAAAATAAAAGTAAAAATAGAAAATTTAATGTTTTATATTTCAAACAAAAATATTTATTAGAATAATGAATAGAGGAGTTGTGTGTTTGATGTTTATTTTTCGAAGATCTATTATTGAGCTAGCTTAGAGCTCGACACCCCTCTATGCGGGTGGTAAGAAAAATGATCCTATAGAAGTTGTATAACGCACAACGTTAGAGAACGCTTACAAAATAAGAGCTCTTCGAGAATTCAATTACGATACTTGAGATGTAATGATTCAGTAAATAATTTTGTTAAATTCAAGATTATTCGTGAATCACATATAAGGAATAGAGCGAGAGAGGAGAGTATAAAATTAGAGGGAGAGATGGAATTTTATAACGGAGCTATATTCACTTAATTGAGCACTAAAAATTGTGGAATTCCTCTTCATAAAATACTTCTATTTACGGAGGATTTAGTACAATAATGATATTACATTTTTTTCCTCTATCTGGATTGGGTCTACTATAGGGTGTTTTTTGGTATTTTATAAGCAACAACTAATTATCCGATCACTTTCTAGCTCGGCCGGCTCAACATGGTTGACTTGGCTTGGTTGATCTTGCTTAGTTGGCCCGGCTGGATATCTACATTGGTCTCCTCCTGCGAGAGGTTTTAATATCTGTGAGATGATTGAGGATATTTGTGGAATTGATCTTCCCATTGGTCAACTCTCTTGTGGGATAAACCACTTTATCAGTCGGCTCCCTCTAGTTTAGGACTCAGATATCCACTTGATACGTTTCCGAATGAGTGGTTTTGTTCGCATCGATTAGTCATTCTCCATTTATTTTTCGGGCTCGGTTAGCTTTAGTTGGTTCGACTTAGCTCATAAGGCTTGGTGGGCCTCTTAGTCTCTTTGCAAAGAATCTTTCTTTGTCACATTATTTTATTTTGGATCGTTAGATCTCAACAAGATGAACATTGATATATTTTTTATGTACATATTTTAGTTTCTCAATTCTCCAACCCTCTTGAAAAGATAGTTGATTATCCCTTAACAAAACATTCTTATTTTTTAGAGTATAATAACTTACTTAGAATTAATCTTTTAAGCAAATCAAAAATTTATATTATATTTTTGTTGCGTGTTTATGCTTTTAGATGAACAAAGGTGAGCTATTGCCATACATAGCCTTTTTTTTCTAATGTGTACATTAATCATTATATGCACAAATGTAGCACATCGTCATCCTTTAGCAATAATAGATCTTGAGATCATCTCATCTCCATGCTACGTCATGGGAACATATTTACAGAGATAAATGATTAGCTTATACACGTACTACCCTTTGATGATGTAAGGCTTCATCCAACTACTTGGTTGCGAGCTACAGTGTCAACCTTTTTTAAGACTAGGTATTATGCTTTGAATTGACATCATTAACTTGCGAGCTATAATATTTTTAAATTCTTCTCTTGACTTCCGCCCATCGCAACACAGGTTTCCAAAAGATCCAATGAGTTACAAAGGATTCATCATTGAGCTCTCCCCATTCATTTTACTCTTGCTCCTCAAACCTAGAGGCGGTCAGGTCCTGATAGTAGCACCGCTTCAATCTCATGTAATAAGATGAAAGGAGTGTGTCATGTAGAAGTGTAGGGCATAGTTCGAAACACCCATAATGGAGGGTAGGATTTCGACCCATTATTCCTTTGCTCATTTTATCTTTCGTTAAGCAAGCTGAGGATGAATTTTTTGGTTGCTTCCACTTATTCTTTGCTTTTCGTACCATCATCACTTTTACTAGTCAATCTAGATATTGATTTTTACAAATGGAGTTGGCCCATGAGCTTTTGAACTTTTGATCGCATTGGTTCAGCCACGATTCTCGCCACAACTCTCATTTTTTGCTTGGTGGGTCTGTCTTTAGGGTTGAGATTGAGCTGATTACAAGTAATATGAATACACCTTAGTGATCTCTTAATTAATTTGAGATCAATTGCTCTTCCTCTCATGATACAAGCTTGAGCTAATTTGCGAGGATTGTTCACATTCACCTGCAATGACAAGCACTTGTTTAGTGGCTTTAATGGTCTTCAAACTTATCCCTTTATGAGTGTTGAGTTTGAGAGATTTCTTTTGTATCTTCCATAACACATGGATTATATGTGTGAGATTGCAACAAGTCTTCTTGAACGGTGATGATATATTCTCTTCCCAGGAATTTAACAGTCACGTCATAGGTGGAAGTCACCACCTTGAACACAGTAAGGATCAGACTGCCGAATATGAAATTTTAAGTGCTCAAAGAATCCACCACTATAAAATATGCTATTGAAGTGTATTGTTTGCCCACTTCTCTCCATGTTACTGGTAGGGAGATGACTTTGCATTTTTCTTTTCTCTCCCATGAGAACTCATAAAGAGGTCCCAAAGTAGGAGCAATCTTGGTGTTCGTCATATTCATCTTCTGGAATACTTTCTCGAACACAATGTTGACGAAGCTCTCTGTATCTACCAAGATACATGGTGATTATCAATGACAGTGGTAGTGACTATGACATTGTTAAAATGGTTCCCACCTCGGTGTCAACTCTCGTGAAAGTTATTGGTGGGTGATTTGAAGCAATAATTATAGCCATGTTGGCGAAATTAACATCTCTCACTATCACCCTCTTCAAACTTGAATGTCTAGTGGCCTTAGGTTTATCTCCACCATATATGGTGGGTATGACACTGACGATATTTACAATTATAAGGGTTCCTCGCACAATAAACTCGTTCAACTTCTCTTCCCGGATAAAATTCTCCGAGAAGATTTTGAAGGTAATGACATTCCTTTGTATCATGTCCACAATTGCGATATTAGGCACAATACTTGTTGGGATTTTGTTGGAAGCTCCTGACCTTCATCAATGGAAGCATCTTGAAGATTTTTTTTTTTTTTGGATGGCCTTTACGATTTCATCCATGGATACTTGCAGGGGAGTGCTTTCCATTGTGGACGGTTGAGGCAACTCCTATCTTCTGTCTAGCTTCTTCATTATAAGCCTTTAATTAGGCTGCTTCAAATGCTGTTATGGTTGAGGATACCTTTTATGGGCATCTTGTTGATTTACTTTTGAGAATGTGAGTTTGGATCTCTAATGCTCGCGAGAATCTCTTTGATGGAGCTTTTCTTCTAATCTTTTCATGCCAGAGGGATTTAATAAATAACTATATTCTTTTGATGAGATATGATCATTGACCAATTATAGAAGTTCAACTAGAATTTTAAGATTTTACTAGCCAGGTGTATAATAGAATATACTTTACATAGGTCTTACGTGAGTGTTGCATGGGTGAAAAAAATGATCAAGATTTTTAATGTTGAACATCTAACGTTGGAGTTTGGTAATAAAGATCCACAGGCTTTCAAATGGAGCTTGTTGGATTCTTAGCAGAGCTTGAGAGTTCTTCTATGAGTTTTGAGCACTAATGAATAATTGAACTATGATTATTCATCTAAATTTGATAAAATAGGTGATAGAACCAACTAGCAAGTTGTTGAACCAAAACAAAGTTGTTTCTTGAGCGTTGTGAGGAATAAATGATAGTTAAGGGCATCACTTATTTGTAGAAGACAAAATATTGATTTAAAAGAGGCTACATAATCAACAGGATCAATTATTCATTTGTAAGAGTCCTGAGATTGAATATTGAACCTCTTGGTGGTTCTACTTCAATGATATCTCAGGAGAAGGTATTCTCTAGTAATCTCCTCCTCCTTTGTGTTTTTCTTCCTTTGTCTTATGAGGAGTCCGACGTCTCCTCTCAGATAATGTATGGTGTGTCATCATAATCTTCCACTACTTCCTTGAATACAAAATCTAGAGCTCTCCTTGCCCAAACTTGAGGTAGCGCTTCTCGGAGTGGTCGGTCTCTTTGTTTTTCTTGCCTTCGTGCCACCGACCCTGACAATCTGTTATGGCTTCCTGAATGGTTTCTGGCATAGGTTTTGGTTACCTCTCACCTTACTTCTTTTATCCTCTTATTTACATATTTCGGAGTTTCGTAGTCCGCTCTATCATGAACTCTAGTACAATCCATCGTTGTTCATTGTTTCTCCTTGAAAAAGAATATCTTCTGACTTGATTTTGAAAATAATAACCACACTTACTACACTTTTTAGAATGTTGAATCATTTTTTAAGACATGAGATCCAATATAATTCATGAAATCATATTATCTGAGAAAGATCTCGAAGAATGAGCAGGAAAAAACTGAAGGATTTTACAAAGTTTTTTGGGGGTTGCAGGATTGAGAGAGAGAGAGAGAGAGAGAACCCGTCCTCTTACATCATTCCCTCTTATTTATATACTCAAAAGCCCATATACCCGCATAGGGGTCTAAAAAATAAACCTAAAACTAAGTTATAGGCTATGTAGTATAGAGTCTGAGTAGACTTGTTCTAAAAAAAAATGCTAGCGTAGATTCTCGTGTTGTTAATGAATAATTGTATGTGTGTTGTTAGATGAAAATTATATTCCTTTCACCTCAAAGAGCTATCTATCGACTTGGTGGTGTAGTAAAGCAGTTGTTTGTGAGCTGATGAAAATGTTTAACTAACTCGTATGAGTATGGAACATAAACTCAAATGGGTGTGGTTCTTCTGCACTTAGTATACTCGAATATCAAACCATGAATGAAAAAAACACAAGAGAAATATTGTTTGGTGATTTTGAGGCCCTGATTCTTGACTCGAAAGGACACCAAAGGCCTTTACCCTTCATCTCTATCGGATGAAAAGCCAAAGCTTTTGCATTTCTTCTCTTGTCAAACAATTGAATAATAAAAATAGATGGTTAGTGCCTAATCAAATTCATCAGGTCTTGTAAGAACAATGTTCAAATCTCTCGGTCAGTTAGGATGTCTCAGCTGCATACATCACTCCACTTTGACTTGACACCCATCAAAATGCTAAACGACTCGTCTCTTCTTAGCCTTATTTTGGATTCTCAATACTTCAACTTGCCTCTAATTAATGCGCTATAAGTTCAAGTCCATAATTGATGTTTTTCATTTTGAGTTTTTTAACTGCAGAGAATTTGATTTTTTTTAGTTTTTGGTGGCTAAAACGAGCATTTGACATTATCTCTTTTTCCAATAGCCTTGTTCCCATGTCATGCTAGCATCTGGTCGCAAAAAAAAACAACAATAAAAATAATAAAACAGAAGCCCGAGAAAGAATAAAGCAGGAACATTGATGGCTTAGAGCAATCGAAAATAGGAAGAAGGAACCTTTCCTCGGTTTGGCAGCAGGGAATCTATAAAGAAGGGGAGACCCAGTAACCTCAGAAGCCAACAGAGACAGCAGCAGAGCAAAACAGATCACCATGAGGGAGATTAAAAAAGAGAAAAACAGAGAATCTCAGCTTTCCCCTCTCTCTCTCTCTCTATCTCTTACTCTCACGCATGTTGCTTGAGAGAAGGGGAAGAGGCACAATGCATAGAGTAGAGAAAGAGGAGCTTATGGCCAACGACAGAGCAGCAGTTGCAGATAGCAAGTGCTGCAACTTTCCTTCATTGTTAACACCACATTCTCTCTCTCTCTCTCTGAGACAACGTGACCAGCTTTTGGACACTTTGCCTTCTTTTTACCCTCTACACTGTCTCGGTGGCCCAGTTCCATTGCTCCATGTTTCTCTCTCTTGCTTGTCTCTTTGTCATCCAGTGGAAGCCATAATGTGAAGGGGGCGAGACTCCTGTTGGTGGAATCATCATGGCCTAATAATTCTCGCCCTTACAGCTCTTCTTTTGGTAGCAGAAAGTTAGGCCGTAGCTTATTTAACTTTTAGCTGTGGTTAAATTCGCTCAATGTCATGGGAAGAGCAAGAGAGATGAGAGTTTGGCTCAAAATCTTCTCTATGATAAGTCGCACTCGAGATGATGATCCGAACGGGCTGCGATTCATTTTGACGCATTTACATGCATACCACCCGATTCCTTTGTATATACATATCTAACACATAACTTTTGCTTATTTACATTTATGCTACCAAAATTTTTCGCTCTGGAGAAGTGAAATACACCTTTCATGGGTAATGAGGTATGTATGTAAAAAATTTAAGTTTGGGGATTGGATGTGTAAATCCTTAAGAGTTGAGTTGTATATATGTAAAACTTCCTTGAATTTTTAAGGTTATTGAGGGGTCAAATATCCTTCATTTTTTTTCCTTATTCTTGAAATGGGTATGAGACAAACTAATATGTTGAAGGTTATTTAACTTTTAGCTTATTGACATATTGGGATGTCTAAAAAATATAAAATGATTTAACAAATTTATATAGTCCGGCTAATTGTATATAGAAATCTTATAGAAATGATTATAACACCCTTTTCAAAAATATACAAACAATTTCTAGTTTTGCACTTGAAATAAATGATGGATTCTTACAAAATTCTAGAGCCCCTTCGAGGCTTTCAGCTTCCAACATTTGCTATAAATTCATCTCATATGACTCATGTTAATGATAGATATTCAACATTTTCCAATTATCAATTTCTTTTTCTTGTATTCTTTATCACCCAATCCCTTAACATACAATAATAATAATTGGGGTAACCATACACTAACTCCCATCATCCAACATTCTCTTCACCCAATACTTGCCAATAATAATTGCTCGAAGTCCATTACCTATAAGTTTCTTAACCATGCCTTCTCGGTCATCTAGTATATTCTCTTTCATGAAAACGATTAAGTAATTAATCTTTGCCATGACTTAACACCGTATAACTTTTGCCAATCATCAACTAAGACCCATCAAAATATGATGTTCATTGTTTGTCATCCATCCATGTTTAACGCCTAACTTCTTGAAGTTTTGATCTCTCTGCAAAACAAAAGAATGACTAAGCCACCCATTATTTTCTAACATTCAGTAGCTTAGTACACCATAACTCAACATCCTTTAAAGACTACAATGACATTTATCAGCATGGGTGTCTAATGTTCATCCTTTTTGTTGTTTTTGCTCAATGTAAGAATGATCAAACTTACTACTCACCTTCGTATAACTTTCAATATCATTTTTCAGCTAACATCCAACGTAGGCCAACATTTAACATCTATTGTACATCTTACTGTTCATTTGATGTTTCTTTAAATTGGGTGAATGGATGAGTTGAACAATAATCATATTCTAATCTTTGAGGGATTTATTTATTATTTGATGCCTACGAATAATTGTCATCTCATGTTTGCTGGTCACAAATATATGATGCTCATTCTTCTGGCTTTATGGCATCTTCTTATATTATACTAATGATTAAGCCAAATCCTAATTTTTATTTTACCAGTTGATTATTAGACAATGCTTACTAAATATGAATATGTAACATTCAACAACAGATTTAATGTTTGTATGTATGTTTGATCACTCAATCTCATATTGTATATATTATGAGAACAATCAAGCTTATTATTCTCTATCATATCGTGCAATCTTCTTCAGAGATTCTTACCTTGCATCTATCAAAAGTTGATGTTAGCCAGCCAGTAACATCGTATACTCATCCTCTCAATATCTTGGTATCTCTAACTTTTGACATCCACCACTAAATGCTGTCAGGTACTCGTCAAGTGATGAGCACTTTAACACTTCAAATTCTTTCTAATATTATTATAAGATACATCATTCATAATCCTTTTTTATTAAGTTATATTAAAATCTTCTATGATTTTGAGAAAATCACTTGATTTGAAATCCTCATCTCATTAAGTACCATTACTTTAGCTATGTTTGATATTGTTGTTGTTCTTCACGTATGCAATTTCAACATTTTATTGGTTACATTCTTTTTTTTTTTCTGTGTGCTAAAATTTTGGTATAATTTGATTACCTCAAATTATTTCTATCATTTTCAAATAGTTATCATGAAAAGGTTTCAAAATGATAATTAGCGATTATTGCAGCAGGACACCAGATGCAACTTTGAGGTCTGGTGTCCAATTAAAATCACTGTAATACTCTTTTTTTAGTGAGACCAACTCTTTCTTGAATGATTTTAATTGGACACCGAATATAAATTTAGGTCTAATATCATGGTACAATAAAAAAACCCTCACACAAGACAATGCCCCAAATACACTTTTAATGAGGCTAAAGAGAATCATTTATTTAAATATTGTATTTAAAGATTATATAACATTAGTATTGCTGTCGGATAGAAAATATTATGTATAGATTTTGATACGTTACGCTGTTTTGCAAGAAGCAGCGGATCCGTTTCCATTGGGCGCCCATGTTCCGTAGCCTGCCCGCCCCACTATCACCGAGATCGCCGCGATCGAGATCCATTACTCTCCCACTCCACCCCGTCGTTCCCCGATTCCTCCGCTGCCAGCAAGCCCAAATCTCTGCAGCTCGATCTAAATTGCTGCTCCTACTCACACCTCTACTCGCTGTATGGATCGTTGGAGAGCCAGAAGCCCGGTGTACAGTCGGCAGCAGAGCGGCGGCTCCAGCAGCACGGGATCCTCCTCGCCGACTATGTCTCCGGCGCACCACCGCTCGGCGTCGACTTCCGGATTATCCAACTTCCGAAGGACGCAGAACCTCGCTGCCAAGGCAGCCAACGCTCGCCTTGCTCGGGTGATGGCCTCGCAGGCCTCCGGTGAGGACGATGAGGAGGAGGATGAAGGAGATCTACCGGTTGCGTCGAATAGTATCCGCTATGGCTCACCTCGGACTCTACCCAGTAGCAACGGCGGCACAACCGCCGGGAATGGGGGGGGGAGGCCCGCAAGATCGCCCTCTCCTGCAGTAAGTTTCAATCTGCCGAGTAGGAGTGTTTATACATAGTTGGCTTGCTTTGTAGTTTGATATATGTAGGATTGTTGTGATTGAACTGGGGCGCTTTCCTTTCTTCTTGTTAGATTTGTCGGATAACCCAAATCGTGCCAAGTTGATTGCAATTAGTAAGTGCTTAGCTGCAGAATATGTAATTCATCCTGTCGGCGATGTTTTAAAATTTTTTGTTTGAAATTATTATTTTGAATGTTGCATGTGGGACTGTTGGGGGATTCCAAACACTTTTATGCATGATTTATCCTTGTAGAATGTGATTTCTATTAGTGACACATGATGATTTGGCTGATAGGCCTGACAGATTGATCCAGGTGTTTTTGATAGTTTTATTTCAATATTTATATAGCCGTCATAATGTTGTTGATTGATATACTATGCACTTTGGTTATTTCATGGTTAAGAATTATGTGGAAGGTTTTCTGATAATTGCTGTGCTTAATATTTGACCAAGGTGGTGTTTGGCTGTAACCTGGTTTTACGTTAATAGAATTTATAAAATCCAGTTAATCCCGATTTATCAAATCCTGTGTGACCGAGATGGAACTTGCGAGCGACGTTGGAGTAAATCCCTTAAATCTGCCCCCACAATCAAATTTAGTAAATCTGGATTTACGTTATAAAAGCGATGGAACATGAGAAATAGAGACAGAGCACCACAAATTTTGATTTAACTGAGCTTTGGATTTAATTTTTACTTTTTTGGTTTTTGATTGGATTTTCCTTAAATCCATGCCTAAATCCTATTAAAATTATGCTACCAAACACTCTAGATGTTTCATCAACAAGCAAGTAACCTTCTGAGGATTTGCTTTACATCTTTGATGGGAGTGAAAGCTATATGAATCTAATAGTCTTTTAGCAAAAATGATTTTTGTTCTTGTTTTGTAACTTCGCCACAATGGGAGATGCTTTATATTTCTTCAATTTTCAAATTTTTTTTATTTTTGAAAGGAATGGATGGATTCATTTAGAGTGTGATTTAAAGCTATATGAGTTAGATAAACTTTTGTTGTATAGGATACAAGTATTTTAATCAATTTATAACTAGGACTACTCCATTGAGGCATAATGTTTATGTTTTTATTTTTTTATTTGGGGCATTTACATACATGCCACTCAAATCCCTATGCACCTAAACTTTGCTTTTTTACATTTATACCACCCAAATATTTCTTATAACCATATCATATTAAAAACACTACCTTTATAACTTTTCAAAGGTGAAATACACCTTTTCATGCCTAGGTAAGGTTGTATGTAAAAAATGAAGTTTAGGTGTCAGATATGTAAATACATAGGAATTGAGTGCCATGTTTGTAAATCTTCATTTCTACTTTTGAATAGAAAGGATGGCAAGTTGCAAATCAACATCCACCTGGAGTGGTGTATAAATTCCCATACTAGTTTTTTTCTCCTTTCTTACTATATAAGTCGATAAATTAGCAAATAGATTGATTGATGGTCTTTAAGTCAAACTCCTATAATTCAGTCATTCAGCTAAATTATATTCTTCATATGTTATTAGTTAGGTCGGAATGTAACAGAGTATGTCCCAGCAGTTCGTTCAACCTCAACTGGGAGGTCATCAATGGCAAGCCGGCCAACACCTACACCTCCTCCTGCAACATTAGTGCCCCCGAGTAGGATTTCTTTGAGGACCACATCAGCCATCCCACCGATAGAACCTCCTATTGAGAAGCGAAGAGATAAAAGGTAATATTAAGCTGTTATAGATCTCTTTATTCAATTAGTCTTATCTGTTTTGATTTAATGATATCTATATATATATATATATATATATGTATAATGAAATATATATATATATATATACATATGTATATATCAGAGCATTAAGTTGGAAAGTTCATATTTATTCGATTAGCAGGTATAAGTTTTACCTATGAGGTTTGGTGCAAATAGTACCTTGTGTCAGAATTTTGAAGGCTGATGTTGTGACCTCATGCTCAAGAATTTTAAGCTCCTATTTATGCAGTTCATAGCTAATTAACATAATTAAAGACAAAAATGTTCTTTGGAACAATATAACTCTAGGAAATTATTGGTGTTTCACTACTGCTTTGGGTTGGGCATTAACTAGACCAGGAGACTTGCTTTCATTGGCTTGTGCATGTTGCTATTCATGATGATTTATTATGTTAACTTTCTAATTTTAAGATGTACTGAGATATCTGTGAGAGGAGCACTCTAAGTTATGAATGGTATTGCCAAACCTGATTTTCTACTGTATGCACTGAAGTGGTTGTAATAGGAAGTTCGGTTTTATTAGTTCTTACTTTACAAGTGCTATAGACTCTTGTTATGGTCAGTCAATGATTCTTTGTTAATATATTTTTCTTGTCCTAAGAAGCTGTTTTTGATCGTGAATTCTGTTAGCTTCTTTTTAGTTAGTTGAGCTTTAGTTTAATAGTTTAAGAATGTCAAACCCATCAAGTTTAATATGTATTGAATATGTTAGAAAAATGCTATTGAAAAACAATTGTGATTCATGCTTGATTTATACTTCATTATCAGAGGAAAGTATTCTCTATAAAAGAACAAATGTAACATAACTATAGAGTAAAGTGCTAATATAGTCCCGACTATTTACATGTGGCTGTTTTAATCTGGAGTTTATAAAAGTATCAAATTAGTTCCTAGATTCTTTAAATTGGTGTTTTAATAGTCTTTTATGGGGACTGCTTCAATCCTAATTTAAAGAGTTTGGGGATTAGTTTTACACTTTTATAGACTCTGAGACCAAAAATGACCCCATGCAAACAATTAGGGGACTATTTGGGCACTTTACTCCATACTATAGGTGCATACTATTTAACTTTAACATGCATGAAGGTTAATTGAAGGTTGTTAGATTGAAAAGGCAACTATAATGGCAAAGAAAGTAATTGAATTTGAAACAAATTTTGTCATTATCTTAATTCATAACATTACAATAAAAATGAAAAAATATGGACCAAAATTTTTTTGTGAAGAAAGACATCCCTAAATATTGTCAAGGAAAATCTTGCGAGTAAAGTATAAGTAATATTTTAAATGCAAGCTCATATTCACACAAAAAAAAGCCTCATCTTTGTCGTAATCATAATATAGAATAACGGCTTTATTATCACTCTTATCATCTTTGTCTATTAGTTTTCTAGGCCTAGACGGAGATTCATTTTTGTTTACTTTAGGTTGGCCTCGGCTGTTCTAGTAACTTTCATGGACGCTACAAGCTCTTGCAAAATGATCTCATTACAAATCTTCTTTATCACACACTAATTAATAACTTATCATTTAATTTTTTGAACCATGACTCATTAGCATTATCAATATCATTCAAATGATTTAAGTCAATGAAATCAGGATAGTGCTCGCTAGTTTTTTTTAAAGTATTGGGTATGCTTAAGGCGATATGGTTTCTCAATGAAGATCCAATCGAAGCACTTGAGTGAAGGAAAACATCAAAGAAGATCTATTATCGATTTAAAAAGCACATCTTAACTACCATGAATATTTTTAAAGTCTATAATATGTTAGTTATTATTATATCATGTTGAAAAAATATGAGTATAGCTAACTTAGAGTCTGTTTGGAGTAGTTTCTTTATTGCATTGTTTTTCAAATCATTACCTCAATTGCATTTGACAGTTACCTTTTTGTCGTTTTTTAGAAATTTTCGTGGTAAGAAATTGATTTTTATAACCAAATCTTCTAAAGTTTGGTAGTTGTAAGAAAATTATTACCTGATTTTTTCGAAAAAGAAACTATCTTTAATACACAATAATTTCAAAAAATGTTCTTTTTCTCATAACAATTTTACAACCATCTCTATAAAATGCAACAACCGCCTCAAATGGATCCTTAATCTTACTAAATAGTCCTTATTTTATATCATGTAACCAAGTTTTTACTATCTATTCCATTTTCGTTCTCATCCATGCTTTCCTCTCCATTGTTAGATTTTTTGCATCTTCTTTTTTCATCTTCTCAAACTCATCTTCTTTTTCTTCATCCTTGCATTTACCATGTTGAATTTAGAAGTTATTGTACCAACATTTAATCAAACTTACTCGTAGTACATACTTTTGTTTATCCAACAATTGTCTTTTCACATTGCTCTATTTCAAATTATTATAATATTGGAAAACAAGCTTATCTCAACATTTTGAGCATTATTGCCCATTTTATCAATTAATGCAAGGCATTCAACTTGTTGCCTAACCTATTAAGGTAAGGCACTGTTCAGAAACACCTTAGGATGTACCCACTGAGAGGTGTGTGAGGCATGATGGCCTTGCCTACTCTTACCAAGTGTCCAAGGCAAGCCTCACATAAATAGTGCGTGTTATTTGACGTTTCTGTGACTTTTGCTTCTCCATTATGATAATCTAGCTATTTTATTGGCTTTTGGGGTGCACTATAAACAATAAAACTAGTATATAGGAAATTTTTGACTGTACTCTTAATTCAGTGAAGAAAGGCACTAAACATAATGGTTTATTTTATTATTTTGACTATTTGAGATATGATACTATTGAGAGCTGTATGGCATATAGTATACCAGTATTGCATAATTCATGTTAATGGGTTTCATTCATGTTTATGTGGAACAAGGACTTATTGATGAAAATAAAAAAAATATGTATAACATTTCATTTGTTGGATCGACCATCCCAACTGCAGCCTTGATCTTTTTGTTTTGGTGACAATTCTCCACAAATTTACCTTGTAAATTGCTAAAATCCGAGTAGACCCGAGTAGAAATTCAAAGTCTGTTGGGGTAGCTGCAGTTTATTAAAAATAACTGTGAAACTGCTGAAAAATAATATGATATTCGAAAAGCTGCTGTGACTATTACAATATTTTTTTTTTTTGAAAAAGTCAGACGGCAGCTTGAAAGCTGCCACTCCACCTAGCTAAGACTGGTGGGAAAACACAGATTTCAGTAGTAGTTTTTTGAAAAGGCCATCAAAAACGCAATTTACTCAAACAGACAAAACTGCAGTGTGGTGCCATACCGCACTGCCGCCCCAAACGGATCATTAGTGTCTTTCTCAAATTTGTCTCATCCATGCAACATTACAAAGACCGTTGCCTTGACCCATTCCGTTATCTTTTCTATTGCTACCCAACCCCTTCTACTTGTTGTCGGTCAACTTTTCGATTGATTGATTATTTGAAAATATGAATATGAAAATAATTTTTGAAATTTAATTTAATTAATAGATATATAGTTCGGGTTTTGAAAGTAGTATGTTTTAATTTTTGAAAAATGAGACAAAATGGATCTCATTCGTCCAATAGTTTGCATAATCGTGCCTGATACCGCGAATACTACACCCTCCCAAAAGATAAATGTAGACCTCGGCGATAGACCCAATCCTGCAAACTAAGAGATTTGTGACATCCATTTGGTCTGCGAACCTTTTTATGTATGACCGACAAGTTCCCCTATTTAATACAAAGATTAAATAGGGTTTAGTTTACCTGGGTTCCAAGTTCCCTATAAAGGCAAGCCCTTATAGTTAATTACATTTCAAATGACTGGAGTCACTTAAGAAAACTCTCGATAATGATCAGTGGTTCTAGTCTTCAAGATTTCAAGGTTTAGGTTTTCACAGTAGAACGTGGAAAAACAAGTGGGAGTGGCTCAAGTAGGAACAGTTCTTTCAGGAGTTCAAAGGAAGGAACATGTAGAGGGTGTCATAGATCCTGAGGAGAAACCTCAATGACATCCCAGACTATCCTACTGTGTGGCTGCATTTTAGAGAATATGTTATTTAAATGTTTAGTCCTGTCAATTTTATTATTTGGGACTTACATTTGCATAATATCCGATTATGCAAATAGCCCGCAGAGATAAGAGGACTTACGTTATAACAAACAACAACCTCAGAACCTAAAGTGAATTAGGACTTACACTGCACAACATAGTTGTACAGGAGCCTAAAAAGGGAGTGTGAGGATTTACGTCGCGCTAGACGAGCTACCTCAAAATCCTATGAGTTGTTATTATGCTAGTAAAAGATGATTTTGAAGAAGGTCCTCTCACTGCTCGGTCTGAATTCCTTGTCATGCTGCCCACGAAGTTGGCTCCAAGCTCCTGTCGTCGCGGCGACTATAGGGTCTATAGGGTTTAAGTGTTTGGGATTGGTGATTTGTGTTTCACAATTTTGATGTCAATGTTTTGTTTCGTTTTGTTTCAATTTTGATTTTGCATGCAGAGTAGTCAAATTGCAGGTAAATAAAAAAATACTTGAAAGGTAAAATGCAGTAACGTAAAATGCTGTAGATAAACTGTAAAAGCGTACCTGGACATCCTTTACTGTTGCGTTATTAATGTTGCGAGCATAATACGATTTGCAACAGATTTAAATAAACTTGCAAAAAAATTAAATAAGGCGAGAAAACCCAACGCGAAAGTCAGAAAAATGAGTTGTAAAAATCACAAGCAAAAAAAACCTGTAACTAAAAACGACAGTTCAGGACTAGGTATAAGACATTGGTAAAAGTGGGGGCTCAGAGCTGGGCTGTGTGCTTCCCGACCTTGAGTAAGAATTGCCAACTCGACAATCTACAGGAGGTAGTTCTTAACCTCAATCCAAATGACTAACCATGGACTTTTATAAATTTTCATAGAAAATTTTTTTGAATTTTCATACAAAAGTTGTTGTTTAATTCTTTTTTATGCAGAGTTCTTTTAATCATGCAAAAGAAATTTTTATTTTATTTTTGTAAATATTTTTGTAAAATTGTACAGTCCACAGACTAGTCACTTTAATCGTGCTAGGACTACTGTGCTAGGCCTCCTGACAACCTAAGAGTGTCGGGGGCAACGATCCCATCAAGAGTCGGCGAATTGTATCATGGATCCTTTCCTCTCCATTATTGAATATCCTTGAGGTAGAAGATACTATTCTAATAATTTCACTTCGTATCCCTCGTTTAAGCACACATAAACAATGTCGTCATCTCCCTCGCTCCCTCGCCACTTAGACTCTAGCTTAGACTCTAGACTCATCCTAGTCCGATGATCCATATGTGGCGTTAACAAATTTCCCCAATTACCAGGAGGATTTTAGTATATTATCCAAGCTCAAATCCCGATGCACTAGATTTTATTGTAGGTTAAGTCATTATGAGGATTTCACTATTGACTTAATTAAGAAAGTATGAACTACGTCTCGGTGCATCCTAGTGTCTAGTGTCTTGATCAGTTTGTGAATCAGGGTCAAGTGTCTAGTTTTACTGTGCATTCGAGGATTAGGTGAATAGACTCTTACATAAGGTATGCTCTTAAAACCTTAGGAGGTTACATTGCAGAGATTAGGTAGATGGGCTCTCACCTAAGATGTGCTCCTAAAGACTAGGAAACCTACACTGAGGATTAGATAGATGAACTTTCACCTAGGGTGGGGTGTAAACCTAAAGCCTAAGAGGTCTACACTGAGGACTAAGTGGATGGAC